GTACTGATAACTAATAATTTTAACCAAGTATTAAAAATGTTTAACCAATATTCCTCTTCAGTGGGCCCAAGTTATTACTATTTTCATTCACAAATGAGGAGTCCATAATCATGGAACCAATAACCTTGATTGGTTCCAAATAAAGTAGTGACACTAGAAACCAGTTCTAATTTCTTAGAAGGTATTTTCCTTTGGGTTAAATCAGCACATTATAAACAGTTCCAAGTCCCTCTAGTGAAGTGAGTTAGAACTAGAAATTCATCAGGAATTTTTTTAATTTAAAGAAAACCTTCTATAAAACCCCTGTGAGACATGCTAAGTGAAGTAAGCCAGTTAGAGAGAGACAAATATCCCATGATCTCACTCATTTATGGAATACAATGAACAACATAAACTAATTAACAAAAAACAGATCCAGAGATAGAGAAGCATCGATCAGACTGTCAAACCCCAGAGGGAAGGTAGGGGAGGGTGGGGGTACGGGGAAAGATCAGCCAAAGGACTTGTATGCATGCATATAAGCCTAACCAATGGACACAGACAACAGGGGGGTGGGGGCATGAGTTGGGGAGGTCAGGGGGTTATGGTGGGAGATGTAATACCTTAATCAATAAAGAAATTAAGAAAAACAACAGCCCTGTGAGAAAGGAACAGAGAAGTGCCCCTCCGACGAAAGCCTCGGATTGCCACTAATGAAAAGGTCGACTTCTGGGCATGGAGTCCTGGTGACCGTCCCACAGAACTGCAGATGTGATGTCTAAACACAGTTCATGAGGATCATGGCCCTCAGCTTTTAACCTGATCTTGAAACTCCTAAAATGAACTGTTTAGAAATGACCATTTTAAGCTAAATGTTAATTCCACCACTATCAAAGTATGATATATCAAAGAATCCAAAAGTATTCAATTATGGAGGCCATTCTGGAAAGAATGGGCAAAGCACAGCTTAGAGAAAAAGGGCTCAACTATACATGTAAGAGCCAAGCAACCAGAACTCCCCCAGGACCTGTGGCTATGACGCACATGGACAGGCCAACTCCGCATGGGGCCCCAACCGGCCCCCCAACCTCCCGCCCCCTCAGCCTCTGCAGTCCCCCCCTACTGACCCCACCCCTGCACGAATTGGTGCACCAGGCCTCTCGTTTGGAAATAAGAGGCAGGGAGGAAAATTAAGGACTAAGATGACTCATTCCTGATCTCAGCTCCAAAAGGAATCATTTTGTCAACAGAGAGAAACTAAATAAAGTCTATTTATATACTGGGTGACTTAAGTGGAAAGAGAAATGAGGAGACATTTGGGTAAATCGGGAATTAAATCTCAACGGCATTAAAGCTAACTTTCCGTAACAAATAGTGTCCAACAATAGGGCTGGCACAAAGCCACTGGGGAAGGACCCAGGAGAGTGCAGCGGCCAGGAGCACGGTCCAGGCACCTGGGGGTGGGGGTGAGGGGCACCGTCCAGGCAGCTGCGC